CGTTAGTGAACGTCATTGTTGGGATACATAGGCGGTTCAAGCCACAACCCCAACGTGCTCAGGGGTTTAGTCCAATGATCCCATGAAAACCGCAGCACCCTCCAGCCATTGTATTCATTTTACACTAGGTTTCACGTTTTTTTTTTCAAATTCAGTCTTAACTTCCATGCTCTTTCCCTTTTCGAAAATGACTTCAGGAAATTAGAGAAAAATTGAAATTGTTCAGATGCCTGCCTATGCCCGCTCTACACCATTTATTGCGCTTTTGATCATAGGAGTATTATTGCTTGTCGAAATCCAACTGCTCTCTTCTGGTGATGTAAAGATGTCTCTGAATAAGATGGCCGAAGCATTCCACGGCTGGCGATTGTGTATGGAGATCCAACTGAACATGATAAGGCAAAAGCCTCTGAAGGTAGGCCCGTTTTCTGTCAATACGATATCCTAATCAACATCAGCTTCTCTAGGTCTGGTTGAACTTTCCCAGTATAACAGCGTTCTGCAGGACTACCACCGAAATTCGCAGAATCAAGCACATCCCTCTGAGAAATAATGATGAGGTTAAGCACTATATCCTTAGCCATGTGAGTATGAGAATTTCATCCCAATTTCAACCACAGCTGTTGCTGAATCACTATTACTACAGGATAACGATCCCAGTGTCACCGTTACCCTAGGTGTAGGTACTGATGTTGGTGCTGAACGACAACTGCAACATATGCTTCCAGAGGTAAGCTCCTAGTCACAACGATCGCATTCTTCCCCCATAGGATAGCAACGTTCAATTTCCAGGGTTCGGAATTCTTCGGAGCGGATCCTGTAGCGATGCCAAATGCTGAAATTTTCAGCAAAATTGGAACATTTTTTCCATATGCCATCAGCAATCGCTTCGGTCTTTCTTATTCCACTATCCGAGCAGACAATGGTAACAATGTTGAATGTTTCTATTCAAGAATACACAGAAATTACTTTCACATTCTACTCATGCAAGTCCAACGTGTTTCTACTGTTCAGCGAATTATCCATCCACCCAAAAAGTAATGTAACCCTCCTACGTGGTCCACAGAGACAACGCGCTCGGGAAGGGTGCTTAATCTTTCAGACGAGCCATGCAAGCGCGGTCAACCTTCCATCCAACTGATCCAGACGGAGGTCGTTTTCGAAGTTTTTGGTAGGAGAGCTGACGCGAACAGCATTTGGGCTAACGAAGGGCATAAGGTGGAAAGGTCATATTCTTGGGAACTTGAGAGGACAAAATTTTGAGTTCGGGAGTGATTTTTGACGGGTTTTGCTTCCTCTCCTACCCTCCTACATGGCAACAATTTTGGAGGAAGAACTAGGTGGAGGACGGAGCGTGTTGACTGGTCTCAGGTTTCAGATACCAGATAAAGATGCTTCAGGTTTCCAGATACTACAGAAGCTGCGTTGGTAGCGAAGGTGGTGGTCAGCGGTTTGTATGGGGGTCAAATTCGTGGGTGATCTCCTCCATGTGTTGTGGGAGGGAAGCGTATTGAGGGGGAAGAGGGTCGAAAAGAAAGAAAAATGGAATCAGAATTGGCCGACTATCGTTTTTGGATCCCGCCTGCAACTCTCCAAAAAAAGCCTCGCTATTCGATATTCGCTGGACGGGATGTAAGATTCTTGAGAGTAAGATCAGGAATTAGAATACCACTTGCACATTGCGCAGAAACGTGAACTATTCAAGAGTTTGAAAACTGGTCCAGAATATTGAATAGGCTATCCATAACAACCATTTTTGATCATTTTGTGTCACTTGTTATCCATTGATATTGGTGCCTCTATTTGTGTTGAGCTGGCTCCTTTTTGCAGCGTTCACCTAATTCCTATGCTTAATAGGACACTACTACCATTGTACAGGGTGGTCCAAAATTATGAGGACCAATACATTGTGTCGCTAAAAACGCATAGTAGCTTGATGGAACAAACCAACTTCTGGGAAGTATTTGTAACTCTTACCTCAAAGTAATTCCAGAATAGAATTGAGATCTGCCACTTCGTTAATACGAGCCTTCGGATGAGGGGGATGGCGCGTGCGGTGGCACGCAACTAAGGCGTGTCCAAATGTTTCCAGGCCTTCTGCTCTGCCTTTCAGGAATCAAACTTTTGTGTTGCATTTATTTGCGCTTGCATCCAGGGTGAAATACAGAAATCTAGAGATATCAGGTGGAGCTCCGTGTAACATTCTTCAAAGCAGCGTACTCTAAAATTCGCTTTAGAAGAATTTTGCTTTATGTTAGTGCTCGATCTGTACAGAATCTCTAAGTAGACTACTCGTGTGGCTTTCTATCCCCCTACAGATTTGGAGTCTTTAGAGTGTCTGGCTGGGTTTTCACATCAATTTTTTCATTTTGGGTGTACGAAAGTCGACAAGGGGAGACCTAGTTTCTGCATCTGATAATTATCCTGGTGGTAACTGTAACTTTCGAGTCCCCGAATTTTCCATCTGTGGTGATTCCAAACTTATTGAAGAGTTGAACTGTTGCTCATAAGGGCTTCTCTGATAGGTTAGACTGCTGCTAGATGTAACGTGCCAGAGCCCCTAGTGAGTTCAATTTGAGGACTGACTCAAAGTGAAGTAGTTATTTCACTAGTTTTGAGAACTTCATGAAATTTGGTTTCATTAGGAAGAAGACATTGTACCCTTTCACATAGTGCACAGAAAACGAGATGAAAATGGAGCGATACGGAAAAAAGTGGATATAACTGCGCGCGCACGCGGTCCTCATAATTTTGGACCACCAATGTATTTTTAATATATGGGTTATCCCACAGTTTCTGTCAGAAGTTCAGCACTTTTTCCTCTCCAAGATTTCTTTCCTGAAAATCGATATGTAACGACACGCCATCAAGTCGGTGAAGAATCGTACAGCACCCGGTCTCGACAGGGTCAAACCGGAACATCTGAAGAATGCGCCGCCAGTTCATCATCAAAACTCTGGCTCGACTCTTCACGCGCTACCTGTCGGAATGCAAGGTACCCACTCCGTGGAAAACCAGCAGGACCGTGTTGCTGTACAAGAAGGGAGACCTGGACGACATTGGCAACTATCGCCCAATCTGCCTGCTGTCTGTAATCTACAAGCTATTCACTCGAGTCATCCTTAACAGGATCGGCAGAATACTAGATGAAGGACAGCCATGCGAGCAAGCAGGGTTTCCGAAGAGGGTTCAGCACGATCGACCATATCCACACGGTTACAAGACTCATTGAAGTTTCACGAGAGTACAAGATGCCGCTTTGTCTCACGTTCATCGACTTGAAGAAGGCCTTCGACTCTGTGGAGACAGAAGCGGTCATCGAAGCCTTGGGAAACCAGGGCGTCCCTACTCAGTACATCAAGATTCTTCGTGAGCTCTACAGCAACTTTACGACCAGGATCTCGCCATTCTACAAGGAGGTCATCATCGACGTCAAGAGAGGGGTTCGACCTAGGGCGACACACTCGCCAAACTCTTCACGCACCTCGAGAACTCATGCGTCCACTGAGGGAGACATGGAGTGAAGTCGACGCTGGCCCGGCCAAACCACCGATTCGTTTTGCTGACGACATCGTTCTTATAAGTTAGCGAACATCGAGCAAGCGGAGCGAATGCTGGCTGATTTCGACTGCGCCTGTGGTAAGGTTGGTCTACAGCTGAACCTAACGAAGACGATGTTTATGAGAAACGGATTGGTTCCTGATGCCCCATTCACGCTCAACGGAACGAACATCACCGAATGCTCCAGCTACGTGTACCTAGGTCGGGAAATCAATATGATGAACGATCTAGCTCCAGAGCTGAGCAGGAGGAAACGAGCGGCTTGGGGAGCGTATAAGAACATCGAGGGAGTAGTGAAGAAGACGAAGAACATCCGGCTCCGTGCCCACCTCTTCGATTCCGCTGTCCTTCCTGCCCTAACCTACGCCTCAGAGACTTGGACTCTGCGCAGGCAGGACGAGCATGCGGTCAGCGTTATCCAACGCGCTGTCGAGAGGACGATGCTAGGAGTAACCCTATACACGCAAGTGCAGAGGGGAATCCGGAGTGCCGAACTACGCCAACGATCGAAGATCAGGGACGCTGCCGTTTTCGCCAAGGAATCGAAGATAAGGTGGGCCGGACACGTCATGCGATTTTGCGATGACCGTTGGACCAGAGCGGTTACCGACTGGATCCCTCGGGACGTCAAACGAACACCTGGACGACCGCCGGCCCGATGGTCAGACTTCTTCACGAAAGCTCTGAACGAAAGGAATGAGGACATCGTGTCCCTCGAGCGAGGAGGGTCCACTGGACAACTCTTGCACGCGACAGGGACGAATGGAGACGTTGCTGGCGCCCGCTCGAGCAATTCGATGATCAACGGGACGACAGGTGATACAGGTGATCGTTATTAATAGTTGTACCATTTAGTGGAGAGCGAGTGTATGTGTCGAAGCTACTGTTTCAGGGCACTGTGGAGATTCGACGGGGTAATATCAGGGTGACAGGTGGGTGAGCTACCGTGGTCTAGCCAGTTTTTTTTAGAACGTGGCGAGTTATCTTTGCAATGTGATTTCGGGCGGTCCTTTGAGAAAGGAGATTTTGAGACGTTTCGAACCGTTCTTCGGCACTCGCTGTGGCCAACCCCGGGACCTTCCACATCCACCTTTCACTGCTTGCCTGCATACAGTTAAGCGGCTCTCACAACTGGATATAAAGCGAATCCAACGAACGGGAGTAATTTGCTTTTATGACGGAGCCTGGGCAGGGTGAACCGTACGTTGGACAAAGTTCAACGAGGGGGCGTTTTTGGTCGACCGAAAGGGGGTCGTATTCTGCAAAGGTCAACGTCGCAATACGTAGGTGAGAGGCATAACTTTCGAGTGCTTCTCCAACTACTAACCACAAACGAGTGCATGGCGCACCTCAGAGCAGAAGAGTCTACTGCAGAAGTGTCCATATTTGACTGTTCACGTACACAAATATGCTCTCGAAGAGAACCAATGTCTTCAAACTGAACCTAGTTAGTAAAAGAGTGACCACTTGAGTAGATTGACTACAGAAGGCTAACATGAGAAGTTCGAGAAGTTTGAAAAAAATATTTGGGTTAGGGCTGAGTACGTGTTATGAAGCACAAAGTTTGTGCGATGTCACGGTATCATTACTCCCCATAAAATTGAGTTTGAAGAGAGCTGTGAGTGTTTGAGTGTTGAAAACTCGTGTTTTCAGGAGAGTAGCTCCGAAAATTCATGAAAAAAAACGGTCCAACGGGACGATTTTTTGAAGGGTCATTGTGAAACTAGTTCAAGTATTCATTAGAAAGCTCTAACCTTCTAGTTTCTTCCAGGGGAGCAAGAATTGCAAAAAGTTGAATCTGTAGGAAGTTATAACAAGTCGGACCTCCTTTTAACCCATTACAATCCCAAATTACCAATCATAGTTGCTGCAGATGCTTCCAATCATGGAATTGGAGCTGTCCTCTCACACAGATTTCCAAACGGAACCGAAAAAGCCATCTACCATGCAAGCCGTACGCTGACACCAGCACAGAAGAAGTATAGTCAAATTGAAAAGGAAGCCCTTGCCATCATTTTTGCCGTTCAAAAATTTCATCGTTTCATTCATGGACGTCACTTTACCCTGAAAACTGACCACAAGCCGCTGGTATCCATTTTCGGAAGCAAAAAGGGAGTGCCAGTTTACAGTGCTAATCGACTACAACGATGGGCCACTATATTGCTGAACTACGACTTCAACATCGAATATGTCAGAACAAGTGATTTTGGACAAGCTGACGCGCTATCACGTCTCATGGTGTCACACTCGCCGGAACCAGAAGATAAAGTTATCGCTACTATTGATGCTGATATTACCGCCGAAATACAGGAGAACTGCAAGAATCTCCCAGTCTCTTTCAAAGAAATCCAGACCGCAACTGCCGCTGATCATGTTCTTACACAAGTGGCAGCTTACATTCGTTCCGGACGTTGGCCCAAGTTGGATCGCAACTCCCCACTATGGCATTACTACAATCGTCGAGAATCGCTGTCTACCGCTGACT